GCCAAACTTCAACTTTTCGACTCCCCTGCCGCTATCATGTTAACGACGCGCGGTGTCGCCCGCATCACTTCACGAGCCTTCGCTCGTAAACAAGGGCCTGCTGCGCTCTTTTCATCTGCTTCGGCGCTGCCTCGTGTAGCCCCAACCCCAGCTCATCGCTCGTCGCTGCCCAGGCCAGCTCGCAGCGCCCCTTCGAGCAAATACTGTAAGGAAGAATGATGAAAAAGTCTTTTTAAACAAGCTGATAGTCGTCTAGCTCGCTCGTATGCGACCGAGGCCAAGGGCCAAAGTGGAACAGTAAAAACCGTCATCGGTGCTGTCGTCGATGTTCAGTTTGAAAATGAAAACTTACCACCCATTCTCAACGCCTTGGAAGTACAAGATTTCCATGGTGGTCGTCTCGTCCTCGAGGTCGCTTCCCACTTGGGTGAGAACAGCGTTCGTACCATTGCCATGGACGGTACGGAAGGTCTCGTTCGCGGCCAAAAAGTTGTCGACACCGGTGCTCCCATCCTAGTTCCAGTCGGCAAACCCACACTTGGCCGAATCATGAACGTTATTGGCGAGCCCATTGACGAACGTGGTCCCATCCAAGGTGTAAAAGTGATGCCCATTCACCAAGACCCCCCGCCATTCGTCGAACAATCCACCACCGCTGAAATTCTCGAAACTGGTATCAAGGTCGTCGATCTCTTGGCTCCTTATGCTCGTGGTGGCAAGATTGGTCTCTTCGGTGGTGCTGGTGTCGGCAAGACTGTGCTTATTCAGGAGCTCATCAACAACGTCGCCAAAGCTCATGGTGGTTTCTCTATCTTCTGCGGTGTCGGCGAGCGAACTCGTGAAGGAAACGATCTGTACCACGAAATGATTGAAACCGGTGTCATTAACCTCAAGGGCGATTCCAAGGTAGCGCTCGTCTTCGGTCAGATGAACGAGCCCCCAGGTGCCCGTGCTCGTGTTGCCCTCACTGGTTTGACCATTGCCGAATACTTCCGTGATGAGGAAGGCCAAGATGTGTTGTTGTTCATCGACAACATCTTCCGCTTCACCCAAGCTGGTTCGGAGGTGTCTGCCTTGCTCGGCCGTATCCCATCTGCTGTCGGTTACCAACCCACGCTCTCCACTGACATGGGTGGCATGTAAGTTGACCTCTAACACGTTGTCGTGACTTCAACTGAAATTTCATCGCAGGCAAGAACGTATCACCACCACCAAAAAGGGTTCCATTACCTCTGTGCAAGCCGTCTACGTGCCTGCTGATGACTTGACGGATCCTGCTCCCGCCACCACCTTCGCTCACTTGGACGCCACCACTGTGTTGTCTCGTTCCATTGCCGAGTTGGGTATCTACCCCGCTGTCGACCCCCTCGACTCCAAGTCGCGTATGTTGGACCCCCGTATCGTATGTTCAATTTATCACATGATACTGTTTCTTTATCTCACCAAACCGCAATAGGTCGGTAAGGAACACTACGATGTCGCCACTGCCACACAAAAGATCCTCCAAAGCTACAAGTCGCTCCAAGTATGTTCTTTACTCTTTGAAATTCAGCATTTACTAATATACTTTTAGGATATCATTGCCATTTTGGGTATGGACGAATTATCGGAAGAGGACAAGCTTACTGTCGAACGTGCCCGAAAGATCCAAGTGGGTAGCATCTTTGCTCTGAGGGTCGCATTGCTAAACTGTCCTGTAGCGTTTCATGTCGCAACCCTTCCAAGTCGCCCAAGTCTTCACTGGTTACGAAGGTAAACTTGTACCATTGAAGGAGACCATCCGCTCCTTCAAGGAGATCTTGAACGGACATCACGACAACCTCCCAGAGTCCGCATTCTACATGGTACGTTCATTTTCTTGGGTCAGTAGATTGATACTAATCCTATTGCGATCAGGCTGGCACTATCGAGGATGTCAAGGCCAAGGCTGAACAGTTGGCAAAGGAGATGGGCGGATCGTAAATGTTTTTACAGTTATTATTAGAGACTCCTCCTGCACACCTCACCTGTCCTTTTCTTATAGCAAAAATATGATTTCTATGTTTCCTTGCTAGCTATGAACACTATGTGATAAGCGCAAATATAGCAGCATTGAGTCTGATGCCGATGAGGAACACGCGTATAGTAATCAACAGAATGGTTCTTGAATGAGATCAGCGAGCAAAGGATCGGCAACGAGTGACGCGGCTGCGTTGACAAACGGGAAGATTGTGTGCACAATGCTCCGAACGGCGCGGTGTTGTGTTTGTGGACTTTCGGAAAATGTTTGATAATCTCGTATTATCTAGAAGGACGATCTATTGAGAAGAGCATCTACCGTCAGCAGTCACTAGCCTAGAGTGGGTGGCCATCCCCAACTTCGTAATCTCGACCTCGTCATCAACACA